TACAAAGCTACAGTAATCAAGACAGTATGGTACTGGCACAAAAACAGAAATATAGATCAATGGAACAGGATAGAAAGCCCAGAGATAAATCCACGCACATATGGTCACCTTATCTTTGACAAAGGAGGCAGGAATGTACAGTGGAGAAAGGACAGCCTCTTCAATAAGACGTGCTGGGAAAACTGGACAGCTACATGTAAAACTATGAGATTAGGTCACTCCCTAACACCATACACAAAAATAAGCTCAAAATGGATTAAAGACCTAAATGTAAGGCCAGAAACTATCAAACTCTTAGAGGAAAACATAGGCAGGACACTCTATGAGATAAATCATAGCAAGGTCCTTTTTTACCCCCCTCCTAGAGAAATGGAAATAAAACCAAAAATAAACAAATGGGACCTAATGAAACTTCAAAGCTTTTGCACAGCAAAGGAAACCATAAACAAGACCAAAAGACAACCCTCCGAATGGGAGAAAATATTTGCCAATGAAGTAACTGACAAAGGATTAATCTCCAAAATTTATAAGCAGCTCATGCAGCTTAACAACAAAAAAACAAACAACCCAATTCAAAAATGGGCAGAAGACCTAAATAGCCATTTGTCCAAAGAAGATATACAGAGTGCCAATAAACACATGAAAGAATGCTCAACATCACTAAGCATTAGAGAATTGCAAATCAAAACTACAGATCAAAACTCACACCAGTCAGAATGGCCAGCATCAAAAAATCTAGAAACAATAAATGCTGGAGAGGGTGTGGAGAAAAGGGAACCCTCTTAACACTGTTGGTGGGAATGTAAATTGAAACAGCCACTGTGGAGAACAGTATGGAGGTTCCTAAAAAAAGTACAAATAGAACTACCATATGATGCCCAATCCCACTACTGGGCTTATACACTGAGAAAAACATAATTCAAAAAGAATCATGTACCAAAATGTTCATTGCAGCTCTATTTACAATAGCCAGGAGATGGAAACAACCTAAGGGTCCATCATCAGATGAATGGATAAAGAAGAAGTGGCACGTATATTCAATGGAATATTACTCAGCCATCAAAAGAAACGAAATTGAGGCATGGACATATATACACTACCAAACGTAAGGTAGATAGCTAGTGGGAAGCAGCCACATAGCACAGGGAGATCAGCTCGGTGCTTTGTGACCGCCTGGAGAGGTGGGATAGGGAGGGTGGGAGGGAGGGAGACGCAAGTGGGAAGAGATATGGGAACATATGTATATATATAACTGATTCATTTTGTTGTGAAGCTGAAACTAACATACCATTGTACAGCAATTATACTCCAATAAAGATGTTAAAAAAAAACAAAACAAAAAAAATTCACAAAAATCGCACTAAATTCGAAAATAATTAGTAGCTTCCATTTTCTTGGTTCATAAGAATCCTTGGATGTGCAAGATGATAGCCAAGATATTAGAGCCAATCATAAATTAAATGAGTTACAGCCAAATCATTCCAAAAGTAAAATGATTTAAATCCTTTCAAATATCTTACAGCCAGACAATTAGAGTCAACGAGGGATGTGAGTGCATTTTGGTATGATTACCATGACGTGAGGTGGAGGACAAAGGGCCTAAGAAAGTGTTTAAATAGTCCCAAAAAACATAAAAAAAAAAAAACAAAAAAAAAACAACTGCCTGCCAGTGCAGGGTACATGGGTTCGATCGCTGTTCCAGGAAGATCCCATATGTCGTGGAGCAACTAAGCTTGTGCCCCACAACTCCTGAGCCTGTGCTTTAGAGCCTGCGAGCCACAGTTACTGAGCCTGCATGCCACAAATACTGAAGCCCTCGTGCCTAGAGCCCGTGCTCCACAACAAGAGAAGCCACCGCAATGAGAAGCCCACGCACCACAACGAAGAGTAGCCCCTGCTCACCGCAACTAGAGAAAGCCCATGTGCAGCAACAAAGACCCAACGCAGCCAAAATAAATAAATAAATAATTTATTTTTTTAAAAAATGTTGCAACAGGGGAGAGAGACTGAACTCAACTGCTACTACAACAGGGATTTACAGCCAGTAGTTAGGGTAAGGGAGTCAGTGGGTGGAAAGTTACTGAGAGGAACTTGGTTAGGTATTAAGGGTGGGAGTATGAAGAATTTGGTTAGGTATCAAGGGTAGGGGGATTGTCTATAAACTGGTTTAGCAGGATCCTTGCTTAAGTCCTAGTTGAGAAGAAGGCTCAGAGGATCCGACTAACGTTTGGTCCAGGAGGGAGTTCTTGTCCGTAATACTAGAAACAATAGTATCATTTGTGACAAAAGGGTTAAGTAAAATGTAATCCTACCCAAACAATAAAGTTGTGTTTAATGGAAAAATATGCTGCTTCAGGTAAAAAATTTTGTTTAAATTAATTAAAATTCAATAAATTAAAAAGTTCAGTCCCATTAACCACATTTAAAATGCTCAATAGCTGGACTTCCCTGGTGGTCCAGTGGGGCCAAAAAAAGAAAAAAAAGAAATGCTCCATAGCTACCTGCAACTCATGGCTCCTGTAATTAGGCAGAAGAGTTCCAGACCTTCTTGGAGTACATTTTCATACCTATGTATGGACCTGCATTCTATACCTACACATAATATTTTCTGTACCTACAGAAATATTTAGCTTTGGGTGTTTTGGGTAAGCATAATGGGATTATATTGTATGTATTTTTGTTTCACTTGCTTTTTTCACTTACCATATATTTTGGAGCTTGTTCTATGTCAATACACAGAAATCTACCTTTTGCATTTTAGTGCTGCCCAGAGTAGACCATAGTATGGATATACTTTAGTTACTTTAACTTGTCCCCAACTGATGTGCTCTTAGATTGCTTCCAATACTATGCAACTACTAAGAAGGCTCTGCTGCTCCTTGTGTGTTTGAGTATTTTTCAAGGTAGATTCTGAGAAGTAAAATTACTGCAATTTTAGAAGTTTTTACACATGTAAACTATTAATATGTACTCTGAGATTGCCATCACAAATGCCATTTTACACTCTCATGAACAGTACAGAAGAGTACTCTGCCCTGCACCCTCATCCACTCCTGACATTTTCAGTCTTTAAGAATTTTGCCAGCCTTATGGATGAAAATCATTTTTGGTATACATTTCCTTGATAATGAGATTGAACGTTTTTTCACATTTCCTTATGGATGTCTTATGGATGAAAATCGTTTTTGGTATACATTTCCTTTATGGTGAGATTGAACATTTTTTCACATCCTTATGGATGTCTTATGGATGAAAATCATTTTTGGTATATATTTCCTTGATAGTGAGATTGAACGTTTTTTCACATTTCCATTAGTACTTCATTTCTTAACACAATGCCTGTATTTCTTCCAAAAATAATAATATTGTTTAAAGACAGTATATATCCTGTGTTCTTGCTTTCCTTTGAGTAACTGTGGTCAGGTTGTTGGAGCAGGTCAATTTTCAGTTTGCATCTCTAGGGGCAAGAATCATTTGCATTACTATTTTCTACAATTTTACTCAGCAATAAAACTGCTCAAAGATGGTGAAAGGACTACTAAAAATCAGATTACCCAGTAGAGTATGCCAGAAAACACCTAGCATCCTATAGTGCACCCAGCAATCTTTCACTTTTTTTCCTGACAAATAACACATTTCCTGACAAATAACACATTCTAGCACATTGTCTGGTTCAGAGTGAGAACTTAACAAATTTAATTTAATTCTCTTCTATTGAAAGAATGAGAAACAAAGTAATTGAAAATTGATGGCATTTCTGTAGAACTGTAGTTCTCTGGATAGGGGCTGTATCTAGATTTACCTTTGTTTTCTTTGGGCCTTTCTCAGTGCTTGGGAACATTTTTACAGGTGTTCAGTAAGTGATTGAATGGAACTGTGTTCAAGTATGTTCTAATTCATTCTCCTATCTGGAGAAACATGTATATCAGGAGAAAATAGGCTTATTTGTTTACATTGTTATTTATCATGTTTCAGACAGAGATTAGAAAATATATCCTAAACACACAAATTGGTGGCCTTGCAAATGACTAGACTAGCTGTTTCCTTTCATAGTCCAAATTGTGTGAAAATGGCTAAATAAAGATCGTACTCTATAATAATAGCAAATGCGATTTTGTTGTGTGCAGTCTTAAGGTGTTATTATGCTGTTCTTACTGTGAATGGTGTTTTTTACACATGCTAAAGCAGGCTAGCATATTCATGTACGTTACAGCTGGAATAATGAATGCATTGCTTTAAAAACATAATTTTTATCTGCTTTTTAGATTTAGTGTTCAACATAAATTTCTTCTTAAGTAACTGAAAAAAAAAATACACGGTGGCTACTGTAGACTGTAAAATGAAGGAGAAGCTTAGCTTTGCCGTGGAGTCTGAGCTGGGTGTAACCTAACTAGCTAGAGGATATGCAGTTCCTGATTGACAGCAGGACCAGCATTATGCAGATTTTGTAAGAGAGAACAGCAGCTCAGAAACAGTGATTAGGGGCTCTGTTAGGAATCACTACATTCACCACTCATATCTTTAGTTTTTCATTTTTCTGTCTACTGGATTTGTAAACAAATAGTACAAAACAGTTCCTCTTTTGTTTTTATTAAAGTGATACTGCAGTGCAGTTTCAGTCTATCAGCTAGGCAAACGTGTCGGAATTCGATATTCTCCCTAAATTAGCTAATTTTTAGCTGTGTTCCATGCTTATCTCTAGACCTTTGTGTATTAAATCCTACCTCGAGCTGTTCTCTTTATACACAAGTGTGTTCTGCTTGTGCCTTCCTGTCTTCTTCAGTGAGAAGCTTTATGTAGGTCAGGCTTGGCTTAAGCAGATTTCCTGAACCTGCGTCAGCTTAAGCTGGAGGAATTTTAATAAACCCTCCCCTGTAGGCGTGGGCCTAAATGAGGCTAGCCTAGTTAAGCCTGATCTTTTTCTGTTTGTGAAAAGAGCTGAGCAGAGCTGAAGGCTGCATGGTGGTTTCAGAAACTGCCTACTTAATTTGAAAAGAACAATGGTAGGAAAAGCTAGATCTTCCAATTTTACCTTATCTGAAAAGCTTGATTTGTTAAAGCTTGTGAAGCCATATGTTAAAATTCTGGAAGAACACACTAACAAACATTCAGTAATAGTGGAAAAGAATAGATGTTGGGATATCATAGCAGTTAACTATAATGCAAGTGGAGTAGACCGCCCTCCTCGAACAGCGCAGGGCCTACGCACTCTTTACAAAAGGCTCAAAGAATATGCCAAACAGGAGCTATTGCAGCAAAAAGAGACCCAATCAGATTTTAAAAGCAATATTTCTGAGCCAACCAAGAAAGTTATGGAGATGATTCCCCAGATTTCCAGTTTTTGCCTGATAAGAGACAGGAACCACATACAAAGGTAAGCTTTATTTTATTTTGTTGTGAAAATTATGGCGCCTCCTATCTATTGGGCTCTGGCTTAGTTGTGATAAAGATATGCATAGTAAGCATCCCCACTAAGGGAGCAGTGAATAGTGTCTTTGTTTTGTATTCTTAAAAAAGAAAAGTGAGGCTATAAGGAATTTTTCTGCTGCACTGGATTTAAGCCACTTTTTATTGTCTTCCCCTCCCCCTTCCCTCCTTCTGTAGTTTCTAAAAAGTAAAGGTTAGGGAGGAATAAATGGGATGTAATTTGTGACATTACCTCATAAACTTTTTAAGCTTTAAAATTAAATTGTTTAATTAGCTTCTGAGAGATACCTTTTGCTTATTTCATTTAAGATTACATTTCATTAGAATTTTCAATTTTGTATAAAGTTAGCAGTTTCAGGAAAAATGGAACCCTTGCTTTTTTTTTATGAATTATCAGTGTCTACACTTACTGAATATTAATTGAGCTAAAAACCTAAAATGAACAATTAAGTAAACTTGTTAATGGCATCATTGTATATATTAAAGTTTAAAGTATTTTTAAATGTACAGTTTAAAGTATTTTTCTAACTTACATTCAAAATAAAAAAGGCAAGAACACAAGAAAAGGAGTTAATGCCTAATTAGGGATTCAGATTACTTAATAAAACTAAAAACTTTTGTTGTTTTTACACATTAATGGTCTAGTTTCACTTTGATTTGGGGTCATACAGGAAAGGGTAAGCTCTCCCATACTATTCTGCAAGGGTATCAAATTATGAATTTTAATATATCAATAAGAGCAACTAACTGGATTAGAAACAGTTTTTTTGGTTGAATTTGTGCTCTACATAGCTACTTGCCTGGAAATCTTCAAAAACTATTATCCTGCTGCTGATTCAGATTTTAACCTCTGGCAAAAGATAAAAATGGCAGCTACAGGCTTCATCTGAATCATTTAGGGTAATTTAAGCAAACTGTAAACTCCTTGTTAGTTGAGGAACCTTTCAAACAAAACTTTACAAGGTACTTTCCTATTGGTGGAAGAGTCATTATATAAGTAAAATTATTAATTACCTATGAAATCCCTTTGAAGTTATGGAAGAAATGGAGAAACCTTTTTAGCCAAACATATTTGTTATTTTGATAATTTACTAGGATAATATTTTTGAGCCCAGCTTCTTACCATATACTTCTTATTTCTAGTTGATAGCATAGTAAAAAATTAGCACCAGTGGGAATCCAAGATGTGGATACACAGTATATTAATTCATGGGGTCACTGCTTAAACTGTTCACTGTGATGACAAATGATTAAATCCTAGTATGCTGAATGTCCAAAAAAAAAAAAAAAAAAACTCCACAGTAAGACTGTTTTATACTCATTATAATTTTTTCCCTCTTTGAATCATAAAGAACAGTGGCTTTGCATTATAGGTATAGAGCTACCTTTTGGGTATAGGTTTTTATAATTTGAAAACTACACATAGAAACTGTAGTTTTATCAAGTAGTGTATTTTAAAAATACACTGATATAGAAGAGAAATAATATATAAGATACAACGATATATTTACATTTTGACCACTTGTGTGTGTGTGTGTGTGTGTGTGTATGGTATATATACACGTACATACATAGAATATATATACCTACACAATCTTTGGGACACCAGTATTTCTCTGATAAAATGAGTTGATTTACACATTTCTATATCTACTGTTTAAACAATCAGTTTTTCAGATTTTAAAGGTAAGAATATCAGAAATATGCCAATTAAATGCTTATTTTTGTTAGCATGTCTGCTCTGCCACTTTCTCTATACTAGCATTTTAATTTATAATATATTTATGTACTTAATATACTTATACTTGTTTGACATCATCTTGAATCTTAATTATCTCAAGTTTATAATTCACTATCTTAATTATACTTCTATATAAATATGACAGTTAATCTCATCAAACTATACTTAATAAGGAAAATATTACTGCTTATATAATTTAATGTATTTAAATATATACAGCTATTTTGTAAGGCTATTTATTTCTACAACTGACATTGATTTATGTCTTTATATTTACCTCTCTTTAACATCAGATTATATTTTGTGTTTTTATAACCAATTTGATCCTCAGAGTTCATAAATTTTAGAAGTCCTTTTCTGTTTTATCATTTTTTTGTGACCTCTAAATCATTTTTAGACTTTGTTATGCCTTACTTGTTATGTTTTAACTAAAGTGGAATGGAATATTCCAGATATAAGGTGTATTTTTAATTTACATGGGAGTATATTGTCTGTGTTTAATTGTGAGTCTTATAGTCTATTATACATACTAATTTGGAAAAGTAATTATGTGGATTTTAAAATTTTAATTTATATCTGTTGTTTTAACTTTTTCCCAATCTAGGATTTAGAGATGTTAATAAAAGCAACTCTTACTAATTTGAATTACATTTATATTCCATTGTTTTGCTTTTGAAAATCATAAAATGACAAAAAAAGACAAGAATGAAAATGAAGGAATTTATGTAATCTACAAATAGATTTTTTATAACATACTAAATATCTTATTATTTCATTTGTACCTCTTAGACAAATATCATATTTCTGGCAATTTAATGTTATTAGTAAGTGACATATGGGGAGTTTAAATTCTTTCCCTTACGTTCTACTTAAACTTGTTCCAGCATTTTAATCATCCATGTAGAATGTATTCTAACCTATATTACTTATTTATAATTTATAAAATGTTATTTAAATAATGTAAAGTGTAGCATTTCCATTAATGTTCCAATAATCTCTTTCACCTCGATAACTTTTATTTTTAAGTTAAGCAGAAACATAAATTTAAAAAAAAAACCTCAAGAAACATTATGTATTCTTAATTCACAACTTCATGTTATACATGAAATTATTTAAAAACCAACAGAATTTTCAGGAACATTCTGTTTATGTCATAACAAATATTGTAATGTCAAAGTTTAAATTATGCTAAAACTGTAGTTGCCTCTAATAGGAATGCATATTTTATGGAAATTTCATGTAAATTTAATAAATTTTCAATATATATAGGCCATTAAAAAAAACATTGCATTAAAAAAACCCATTTCACTTATTCAATCATCCAACATATGATGAGTACCTATGAGGTTCCAAGTAGAGTTTATACTGGGTACTGATGATCCAGTGGTAGATATAAACCCTTGTCCTTGTACATTTCATCTGACCACTGGTTAAAAGACTTAAAGATCACCTGAGTCATGTAGTTTAGGATAGGTAAAGGGGAAACACCATTGCATCTGAAATTGGATAGTTAGGAGAACCCACTGATAGTTGGGCATACCCAGAATCATACACAATCTTGTTTTTCCTGTGTGTGTGTGTGTGTGTGTGTGTGTGTGTGTGTGTGTGTGTGTGTGTGTGTGTG